GGTTACATTTGGTGGGAAGTCATTTTCGTCAAGAGTAACAATTCATGTTAAGTTTAAATTAATAGCTGTTTCTTAGCATTAAAGTGTGCTTTATGCAGAGAATGTTACACACACTTCCTTTAACATTTTAAATTAAATCTTGGCAATTTCTGCCGAATTGGTCAGTTGTCTATATTTTTGTTATTCATACAGATTCGAGCATTTTGAGGGCTTATGCCAAAACCAACTCCCACGGGTCGCCATAGAAACTAACCATGAGTGATATTGGCATTTGTCATACTCTAGCCTGAGCGGTGATTCCCCCCTCCCATTGTATCATATTTTCAACGTGACCCAAGCCACAGGGCAAACACAAGAATTTTACGTAAGTTTTATCGAAGGGACTGGCATCAATTTGTCGCAAGTTATTTTCGCAAATTATTTTGCATGTTTGCTCTGCTCTAAAGGTGCGTAAAAGGGTGTGTGGGGTTTTCGGTCATTTATAAAATAGACTGTTTCCATATCTTTCCATCAGTGTTTAGGCTAGAAATATTGAAGACCGCATTCAAAAATTGTTGTCTGCATCATTTTTAGTTGTTATACTCTTTTTACACAGTGAAAACAAGTATATTTGTTTTGTCCAAACTAGCAATATGTTATGGGGTCTGAATATATTTATAGAAACTCCAAATTTGGAATACATACATTTGCTTTAGCCTACAACAGATTGAGTCAAAGGACTTATAGGTCCTTAAACTGAAGACCCCTTTACAAAGTATTGAATATATATTCGTATATTCGCCTGCAAGTCACCCTCTGTGCAGGGTATTGCGCTGTCCGTTACGTCCAACTGGCACTCTTGTTCTTGTTTTCTATTTTATATTTGGCACAGCACAAGACACTGTGATTGAATTGCAGTTTATTTGGCATTTAGGCAATCGCAGGATATACATACTTGTGTGTGGGCAGACGCATTTTCCATGCCATGGCCTATCAAATTCCATTTTACGACTATCGCATACTCCCAAAGGCCACTAACAACGTGCCAAATGCCAACAACAAACGCCACAAAAACAACTGCCAGCAACAACAACAAGAACAACACTAAAGGAAACGGATATGAAACGAAAGATCATCAAGTCAGGGCGTGTAGTCAATGCCAAAAAGCTAAAGATTTGATACGTTATACCAGGCTTAAGCAAACATCAACCAATGCTCCCCACACCCCGCCCTCCTGCCGCACCTCTTTGTGCACCCCCTGGCAACCAGAACGATTCGTACGTGCCAGCTAAACAGCATCAATTCTCAGAACTTTGATATCAAGTATTGTTGTTCTTTTGTGGTTTAGGATGGGGCTTAATGCTGGTTGTGCGTGGCTGGCACCTCAATGTAGAGATGGGCGCGTGCCCAACACGAATCGGCACGATCACGCAGCACAATTGAACAACACGCGCGAGGGAAACATAGCACGAACGACTTTTGGACAATTTTTGTAAAAGAGAGAATATTGTTTTAAACAGCTTTTAAACATACTTACGTTTAATACTGACACGCGTTTTAAGCTTCACGCACGACTAAAGGCACAATTTTTAATATAAACTTTAACAATAACACAAATTAAATTTTACTTTTATTATAACTTGATATTTACTACAGTGCTTAAATTTTTTGAGTCGTGTTATCGTGCAACGAAGACGCACATATTAAATTTTATTTTTTAATAGCTTGATATTTATTCCATTGTCCTCATACAATTTAAGTCGTGTTCACATGCTCAATATGAAAATATGCACAATATTCAGTTCTAATGTGAGCACGAAGGCAAACACGCCCAATTGAACGCTTACTCATATGATACTTTAATATTAACACAATCAAAAAATGTTTATTAACCCAATATTTATCCGATAGTCTTCATCGCATTTGAGTCGTGTTAAGCTCAATGCAAACAAGCACGAAGTTCGATTTATCGTGCTATCGTGTACAATGAGAACACGCACGATATTCGAGGCGGACACGATCCAACTAATTGCAAATTTTTTAAATGAAGATTAATATATATTAAATTCCTTTTTTTAGCCTTATACTTATCCAATACTTCTCATCATTCTCATTCGACTCACTTGAGTCGTGTTAACGTGCTCAACGCGAACACGCACGATATGCGCGAGCACGAAGGCAAACACAACACTTATCAAACTTAGCTGCCCAACACTGGCCAACATGTTTGGCATCTCAAATTCGCATTCTTATTTTGCAACATAACAGGGCGTGTGCCCATGTATTTGCCAAAGTAAATTTGTATGTGTGTGTGCTTGCCACAGGCTGCTTACGTCTGGCAATTACAATGAAAACGAGGCGTGTGTTAATTAATTGAGCCTTGTGTATGTTGGCGACAAGTGTTAGCCAATTCAGAGAGCGATAAATAATTTCAATTGTCGCAGCTGCATTAAGCTCAGGTTTGCGGCGTCGCAAAAAAGTACGCAACTAATAATTTATAACTTAATTGCCGGCCACTACGTCCTTTCGTCCCCTATTGATAACGCGCATTTGAATTGCTAACTGGGCTCATGCATACAAATGGAATTGCGAGTTATTGCCTAGCCCCCCACCCCATCGAACCCCGCCACACGCAGGAATCGCAGACCCTTTGAGCACTCAGTACTCGGGTCGCCGGCTTCAATTGCCGCTTTGTAGTTGTATTTGTATGCAATTTATGCGTTATGACCGTGTGTGTGCGGTGTGTGTGTGCGCGTGTGTGTCGATATAAACAAAGACGTATTAGTAAATTTAAAATACAAAACAAAAAATAAGGGCGCATTTTATTTGCCCGTAAATTGAATGATACAGTCCCCGCTCCGTCTGTTCGGCCAGACAAGTTGAACGCATGGCAAAGTGATAGTAAATTTTTTTGATGGCATAAGGGACAGTAACATTTATTGTGCGGTTGCCAGGGTAACCAATTTTTGGCCATGTCTGCATATTATACGCTTATTTTCTTTCATTTTTTGTTGTTGTTGTTGTTTCTTTTCGGGCAGCGCATAAAAACTGATAAAGTTCATCGGCAACTATTCGAAAAGCCTTTGACTTTGATGTCACATACGATAAATGCTGGCAAATTTGATGAAAAGGTTTCTTTTTATATTTACGTCGGGCCAGACTAACTGAATATTGTGCCTGTTGTCGCCACTGGGCCATAAGGCATATGATTAGCATAGTAAAGTAAATCAGATACTTACTCAGCTCAATTGACAGCTACAAAATGCCAGCCTGGCCATTGACCAAGCTTCATTTTGTGACTCACTAAGTATACTTAATATTTGGTGTACGTAGCTTGTGGGCTGATAAGAATGTATGTAAACAAAAAATATCTTAAGTAGACCTTGAATAATACTGCGCACATGCGTGTCTCTCCTTTTACATGTCATGTAACATGTTTTGCATATTTACACCTGCGCCAGTTGGCAGCTATAAATGTCCTTTTAATTTGGCCAAATTTCGCTGTGTTGCGGCCATAGTCGCATCTAGTATCCTTATGCATATTTTACCAACCACTTTCTAACATATGCTGCACTTTATGAATTGCTAAACATTTATTTTGGCTCACACGCGGTTTTTGGTCTGTCTCTTAATTAATTTCGCTGACAATTAAAACTAAATGCGCCAAAAAGTGCACAGCTGGCACTCTAAATACCTGCACCAAAGCAGTAAAAGGGAATATTGGCAGGAATAATGACTTCATTTTCATCTAAAATGTGCCAGTTACAATCTCATCCAATTATATAATAGAAGTGAAACGCAAAATCTAAATAGGTACACAATCATAAAAATAATTTTGCTTTGGATCTCCGAGTTGATAGCAGGATCCCACGACGTTTAAAATGATTACACAAACTATAATGTTAAGTATATATCTGGAACTGATTGGAGCTCAAACAATCCTGTTAAGTCTTACATTGTTTTCTAAGCAATTGGTTTATTGTCTTAAGATAGTTTCCAAAAAAACTCTTAACATAACCTCAATTTGAAAATACAATAAAAATTGAGGTTAGGTTTAGATTTATTGTTATTGATATTTTGCATATATTTGTATATACTATATTATACTGCGGTTTTAAATATCAATACATATATATGTATATATAGCCCTAAATATCAATACATTTCAATTTAAATCTAATCTAACCTGAATCTTTATATATACATATATCACTTTTGTATATATATGCCATACTGCATTAAAAATTATTAACAAATTTCATAAATCCTCACTAATCTTAATCTTTACTGCGCATTTCAGAGTTGTGTTGTTACTTAACAAGTGCAGAGGCATAAAATATTCAGTAATCTGTCGCAATGCCTTAAATCTCCTCTCCCATACGTAGTATACATATATATGTATATGCTATACCCCTCTCGTAAGTGTTTACCTAAAGTTACAAAGTGAGCAGGAGAAAATCGAGGCTCTGGTTTTGCACATCATTCAAAAGCTCAAACAGTTTGAAAGTTTGCAGGTTAATCTGACGAACTTTTTTCATAAGCACCCATAATAAATTAGGATAATACTGAAAAGATTTTTGGAGTAAATTGTTTTAATTATAAATATTATTTTATTAGTATAGTTTGTAGTATGGTATAACATTTTAACTATCATTCTATGTTTTAAATAGCACATATTTTAATTGAAGTATAGTTTAACATTTTTGCCATCAATCTATCTTTTAAATAGTATATATTTTAACGACCTTCAGATAATGCTACACATAAAGTCAGGATTTGAACCTGGCACCGCGTGATTCAGTTAGCTTCGGGTAACCTCGGCTCGGAGTGGATCCAACTAGTCACAGATTTAACTCTGAATTTCTTGATCTTCTCATAATTCTATAATAAAGAATGTTACCTGAATACCTGAGTCATTTAGCCAACTGATATACTACGCACCGAGCTGGGGAATATTATTTATATATTGACTATTATATGCCAAGCGCAGCTCGAATCGAAGCTTGAACCATAAAAAAGTGCAAAGTGAAGTTCGTTAGCCAAACCTCAAACCTAGGCATTGGTTCATGCCAATAAGCTCTACGGTTTTTTGTTTAAGGCAATTAAATTAGCCATTTATTATTTTGGCTTTATGACTGGACAACTGCTTTAGACATTCAGCCAGTGGGTGTGCGGGTATATGGAAGTCGGTTGCTCGAACTGTTTGCCTAATTACTTGTAATTAGTCAAGGGCATGGACATGCACTCACACACGCCATTACACGCACACGCACACACACTCATACGCCATTTTAAAACGTCAGATTCACATTTTACAGCTGCCGTCTGCTAAGCCTCTCGAACAGTTTCCAGCGTCTAGACCAAAATGGAATTTATGCGGCCGATAGACATCTTAATTGCTGGGGGATTATGCTTCAGCGTGAGCTGCACTTAAAACTTGCATGGAATTCATTAGTCTGAGAACTTAATTTGGATGCGCGCCGAGAGATACGCGTGCCAGATATCAGATACGAGAGTTAAATTTGGCAGCTTTATTAACAGAAAGAGAGAGAGAGAGAAACACATTTGAGCGGATCAGAGTAATATAACGAGTACATGCGTTAAATATATGTATGTACAATATATGACTAAGTATTTGCTAGGAATATAGTTGGCTCTTAGTTGGCCACAAATTGGAATTGTTTGTTGTTGTTGTAGTTGTCCCGCTGCTGCTGCTGCTGCTGCTGCTGCTCTTATCACAGTTACGAGTACCTGCCCCCTGGCCCCAGCCCGGGCGCCGCGATCTCTGGAATGGACTGACCGAACGAGCTGAAGTGCCTTCAGTAAACGCCACTTGGTGTTGATGCCACACTTGACTGCGGCATTTGTTGCCCATCAGCGTTTTCGTTGGCGCTCTCCTTGTGCCTGCCACGCCAATTCAATTTGGCCCTGAGACCCTTGAGCGCATTTGAGCGTTTAGCCTTTGCCTTGCGCACTTTGCCACTGCCCGTTGACTTTGCCACTGCTGTTGTGGCTGATGTGGCTGCTGTTGCCGCTGGCTCGGTGGCAAGTGCTGCTCCACTTGTCTGCATTTGTGGCTGCCGCGTGATGCGAGTCAGCTTCAGACGCGCACGAGATAGACCAGCCGCAGCGGCGCCGCCCACCACACTCGATTGACAGCTGAGCTCATCGATGGCGCCCATCGCTGCAGGCGGACACTTGTGCCGTGCCGCCAGCTCGTAGTGCTCCTCGGGCCACTGCAGCTCCGCTTCGAGCAGCGAGTGGGCATCGCCCACGGAGGACAGTTGAGAAATTTGTGTTTGCAGCGTTCGGTGTGGCTGCGAATGTGTTGCAGCAGCTGCTGCTGCTCCTGCTGTTGTTGTTGCTGCTGCTGCTGCTGCTGCTGCTGCTGCTGCATCAGCTGCTGCAACACGTGTCGCAAACAGATCCTGTCTGCTGCGACTCTGCGTGCTCAGCAATGTGGCATGCGAGCTGCTCAGCGAGCCACGCTGCAAGCGCTGAGAGCTGCGACAACCGCCAATTGCGGCCCCATTGCTGCTGCCATTCAACGTGGTCAACGTTGTGGTGGTGCGCACACTGTCCTGCAGGGTTAAAATTAAATACAATTGGTTTGGTTTCAGCAAAAGGCAGTGCATTTTAGCATGTGTTTACCGTATGCAGGCGCAGTGAGCCCGTCTGATTGCGTCGCAGCGCGCTGTAGTTGTGCGGCAGGCCCTGACCCTGATGCTTGCCCGAGAGCCGAAATTGACGAGCCAAAGTGACCTGCAAGGGTCAAAGTCTTAGAGCAGCCGCCGACAGGCCCATTAACCACATGGACTCACCTTGAAGGCCTCACGAAACTTGTGGCTCATAATGTTATACAGCAGCGGATTGATGCAGGTGGACAGAAAGTAGAGCACACCCGATGTGTAGTTCAATATATTGAAGACGTCGTTGAACCACTGTGACTCAATGCCAAACGTGGAGCCGTAGACCGCCATCAGGCGCTGTGCATGAAATGGCGCCCAGCAAATGAAGAAGGCAACTGCCACAGCGACTGCACATGCCAACAGAATGTAAGTATTATTGCTGAGATGTCAGCGCCTTTTGCCGGCTGATCCTCAACTCACCCAACATCCGGATGACGCGCGTCTGGGCGCTGATGCCGCGATTAACGTCGTAGCTGCGACGCGGCAGCGCCTGCAACAGACGGCTCCGCTTCAGCTTGATCCCAATAAGCACGTAGAGCACGCAGATGGCCGTCATCGGGCCGCCAAAGAATAGAAAGCCGGATACGGCGAACACATGTGCAAAGAAGTCGTTATTCATCTGTCAAAAATAATACGAATATAATGCGATGCGCGAATACGTCTAAGCTTAACGAATATACTATACTCTAACAGACGAAGCGATATATAAGTGGAAGGGAACATGCACATTCGGTGTGCCGAATACTGAATACCCTTGCAGCCAGATAGCAGGCGTGCAGTATATATTTATCTAAGCTTTGCCATATAACGAAAACCTCATTTTCCGGCGATTGGGCGATTTAAAAACTATATGTTATAATGTGCCGATATGGCTTATATATTCGGTATTCAAATGTTTTCATATCGAACTCATCGATTTTACCCTATCATATATTCTCCTAAGTTTACAAGACTTTTCACATTATAGTAGGACTTGTAATTCCCAAGTGAAGATAAATTATCTTTAAAAAAAAACAAACAAAATCGTTGCAAAAAAACGCAATTTTCAACCGATCGTTTATGTGACTGATATGTGATTCTATTTTGGATTCTATTTTGTTCATATACCAGGATTATTGATGAGCCCGATATTGCGGAATATGTGCAAGATATTATGGAAAATATAAACTTGTGCGCCCCAAGTAATGTTAAGATGCCTTGAAAGACAAAGTGAAGTCATTTTGAGAACAAATGTCGTAAAAATATATCTTCCGACCGATCGTTCTTATGACAGCGATGTGATATATCTCTATAAAACTGGGAGACTAGCATTGAAACGAACTGTTCGGCTCTAAAACTGTTCAAAAAATATATAAAATAATTACAGTGAAAACTCTCCTGGGTGGACAGCGACCGTAGAGTATTTTTGGTCAACTTAAGAGAAGAGTCCGCCTAATAGATCGAAATTAAATAATGAGCAGGCATCACCCATTCCCCTTTCTATTTGTCAGACACTCCTCTTGGGCAAACAAAAATGAGTTTTCAATGTACCTGGAAATATCGCCTTGAACACGTAATACAGAAAACAAAAAAAGAAGAGAACAACCCTCTGCAATACAATGCATTCAGTTTCTGTTAGGGTATGTTGAAAGTCGTCTTTAAACAACATTTACCGTACATGATGAGCCAGCGCCCTGGGTTACCACGGAGAATTGTATGGCCTGGGGCAGGGCGAGCAACAGGGCGGCTATCCAAATGGCAAAGATGAACTTTATGGCACGCGACAGCTTGGACATGGTGTGCTGCCTAGTGGGAACTGACATCAATCAAGGCAATGGCAGGGCCAAGGCCAGCGACTGGCCACTCACCTGAACGGATGGCAAATGGCAATGTAGCGCTCCACGGTGAACGAGGTGATGGTCAGAACGGTGGCATTTGCCGCCGTCTCGGACAGCACGCTCTCCAGTATGCAAATGCCGTCTGAGAAGGGATAATTGTTGGGATGCCATAAGTTGTACAGATCCTGCGGCATGCCTGCGACTCAGAGGGTTAAGCAGCTAGTTAAGGATTACGACGTTGCAACCTACCCGAGCACAACAATATTAGATCCGAGATGGCCAAATTGAATAAATAGAAATTGGTCGCCGTGTGCATAAAATTGTTCCTCGAGATGACAATGCAGGTAATTAGATTGCCCAGCACGCCGGCCACAAAGATGAGGGCATAGCCGACGCTGAGCGTGGCCAGCAGGCCCATATGGGTGGTCATCGGACGCGGCGACTGCTCCAGCAGATCCTGTGGCTCAAGTCCTTGCAAAAGGCTGGTCAAATTGTCCGCCGATATGTTTAGCACTTGGGTTAAATTCAATAGGAATTTTTCACTGTGAAACACTTGCAGCTCAGACAGGGGGGGCGTGCCCTCGCCCAGGGCGGACACATTTGTGGCCAGCATCATGGCTGACATGTGTGTGTGTGTGTGTGTCTTCAATGTCGCATTCAAAATGTCATTTGATTATCCAATGGAAGAGACGGGCTATGCGAAATAAATATGCCAATTGATGTATTCCATTTTTTATACCAAATGATACATTCGTAAAACCAATTTCATCTAATTTTTAGAGTGGGTTTCTTATGTACACAAACATTTATATATACAAATATATATTTAAATGTATGCGACTCTTTAGCAATAATGTTTTTATAATGCGCAAAGTTTGCACATTAAATTTTCGTTAGGAGCGAAGAGCCAAGCAGCTGCAGCGTCATTTTTTTTGTACATAAATTAAATATTATCCGCAGGTAAACCAGTTAAAGAGGCTAGCTGCCAATTTAATGTCCTTGCTGGATCAACAATATCCTCGGAATTTTCATTTGAATCATTAAGTCACATTTAATTTAATTTCCTTTAAGCTAGCAACCGACTAGCAAAGTCGCACACAGATCCCTACTATAATGCCTATCATTTGTATATATATACAAATAAATATCTATATAGATAGATATATATATATATATGCGCGATTCATTCAGACTATCTATACGGCTAGTCGTAAAGTATATTTAACAAAGATTTTGATAACATTATTATTATTATTCTTAAACAAAAAAATGTATATGATATAATGTTATTTTTTATGTTATGCATATTTATGCAAAATGTGTACGTTGACTTTTATTCAAGAATGTTGTCGATTTGGATTTTATTTTGATATGAACCGAAACTGGTTTCGATTGTGTTAGCTTGGTATCGTTTTTATTAGCTATTATTATATTGTGTCGGCGTTTTTAGCCATTGGACATCGTGGCATGGCAATCGCCTCCAATGTGGGCAGCGCCATGTCGCATCGCGTATCGCATCCATAAGTTATGCATTGGCACTGGCCATAAAGTGTTTTTTTCTATCACTTGTTTTTTTGAATGTATGTTTTTTATTTTGTCTTCTTCCTTTTTGGAAAGTTTTTGCATATGAAATTTATTATATTTTATTTGTTCGTTTTTGCTATTTTTTCTTAATTTTGTCAAACTTTATGGCCTTGCCTTAAATGAGGATCGAGTTTGCACCGATTTGGTTTAATGAATGGCTGGCTCTACCGATCGCTAGATAACATTAGCTTCTGAAAGCCTCAACAAATCGTTAATAAATGTCAGACTTAGGCAAAAAAAAAAACAAACAATGAAAGAAAGAAGCGTGCTCTAGTCGAGAGTGCCCGGCTAAGAGATAGCCTAAGCCCAGCTTCAAGCAAACAAGCATTCTAGCTTACTTCTATGCTGCGCTTCTTCTACCCTCATGGCTCATGCTTTGGGAAATTACTTCTTGAAGAGGTTCCGTATTTATAATCCGATCCTTATATAAGGGCTTTGTTATGATCCCCAAAATTTGCGTATATACCAAAGCGCAAGCTTAAAAATTAGCTTGTTTGCTCCTCGTATGCTATACTAGCCCAGGGCAGCCCAGATCGGGGCGAGCATTCATAGAGACAGACAGACAGATCGACATGGCTGGATCGAGTCAACTTCACGGGATCGGAGAGGGTTCCTTCAGCCTGTTACATGACATTTGCAGAAAAATATAATACCCTCGTTAGCCGCTTTTAATGGTTTCAGGGTATACAAAAAGTAAGTGGAAATTTTAATTGGATTTGCATATCTTTCTAATGGCTCATTGAAACATTTTGTATATTCACTTAGAGCCAATTAATTATAATTTGTTTTTGTATTTGTTAATCAGCCAGTGCTGGAAATCGTTTGTGCATTTTAAACACGTTTAATTGAAATTTATTAAATGTTGCCTGCCACATTTTTATGCATTCGGTTTTTTTAACATTTTTTTGTTGGCCTTTTTATTATTTTTTATTGCTTTGAACTGCTTTTGATATTGTTTTGAGTTATTTTGCGAACGATGCACTTTACTTTTTGTTTGGGGATTTTTTTCACTGTTTTTGCACTTATTTTTGTTACATTATGGCCGGAACATATTAGTAACAATTTTCTAAAAACTTGATTATGAACATGTTAACAATGTTTATGCCCGTATTGTGATTATAATTTATATTTAAATTTTGGAATTTCTGTTGCGTGTTGCGGGCCACATTTTCGTGTATATAAGAGGAAAAAATGCGTATATTTATGATTACTTGTTTTGAAATATCGCGTATTTGACGAGTCTCGATTCGTATTCGCAGTCGGCCCACGAGCTGGTCGACAGCGACAACAACTGGCCGCAGCATCCGAATAACAGCAACTGAATTTCGGGCCAAAAATCTTGTATCAGTTGGCCCCGCGCACAATAACAGCGACGCAACAGACGCTGCCGATGCTGCTGTTGACGTCGGCAGCGCAGCAAGAACTACCGGTTGCTTTTGTCAGATTCTGCGACGGCGCTTTCTCTCTCTCCCTCTCTATCTCCCTCGCTTTCACGCTGTGGCAGTTAAATAAAAATGCAAATACTTAATATTGTGGCATGCACTTAATCTTATTTAGTGGCATCTTTAAGTGTTTGAGGCTGGCTGATTACGTGTATATTGGCCACAGCAAGGACCCTGCTAATGATGACCTTTAGCCACAGACAATATAAAAAGACATATACACTTCTTAGCATTTGTATTGTCTTCGCTTAGCCATCTAATGACCGCAATGTTTACCAGCTTGGCATAGGTTCAATTAACTTCATATACACTTCATATTATTCTCATAAATGTTTACCAGCTTGATGAATCAATTTTCAAAAGCAATTTCTATTTAAGTCAAGCTCTTAAGTTTCCAGTCAATGCCTTATACATACTTCAAACTCGCATATCTCGGCCAAAGCGAATTTGATTTTACGTTAAAGGCCATTTTGATGATCGTTTTTATACCCTTGTAGAGGGTATTAATATTTGGTCGTGTAATATGTAACGCATAGAAGGAGATGTCTCCGACCCCATAAAGTATATATATTCTTGATCAGTATCAACAGCCGAGTCGATATAGCAATGTCTGTCTGTCTGTTTCTATGCGAAGTAGTCTCTTAGTTTTAAAGCTATCGTTATGACACTTTGCAGAAGTCCCTCTTTCTGTTGCACGCAGTAAATATGTCGGAACCAACTGGATCGGACCACTATATACGATCGGTCGAAATTTAGGTTTTGTATGGAAAACTTTTTTGTTTTTAAAGATATCTTTACCATACTCGGCATTAACTATTTTCCCTGTGCTTCTTAGATACAGGCAAAGCACTATGAGCATTATGAAAAGGTTGGGCCTGCAAGGGTGTTAAATCTTCGGGGTGCCGAACATAGCCTTTCTCGTCTTTCTCGGTATTAATAGATTCTTCATCTAAAATGTTTGCATTTTAGAATATTTTTCTTTTTATTTTATTTTATTTATTTCATATATTTGTTTTCCGTTGCATTTTTCCGAAAAATATCCACGATATAATTTTAAGAAATTTTCTTTCATCAAATTTTATTAAATATATAATTTACATTAACATTTGGTCAAAAATCAAGTGACAAATATTTTAATATGTGAAGGGGTTGGCATTTAAATGATTATTCTAAATTTAAATACGTTCTCCATGCTTGAGGACACTTTGTTTATGGCCAAGATTCTGGTTTGAGTTTGCATGTAAAGCAAAAAGAGTTTATAAAATGACAATTAATATTCATAAATTTTGTTTTAAATATGCCTTACACTCCCAGTAGCACATTTGAAGAATATATATTATAGTATATATCAGATGATGTATTTCCTAACAATTGCAGATATCGAAATTGGTATAAAATGTTTGGCATGCGAGGAGTAAGTGGAATGTTGGCCAGTTAAATGGCCGACACGAATTGGCGCATGCCATTTTATGGCTTGTAGTCGGTAAGATTTTATGTGTCCGTTGGGCGTTTGTTGGCCGTCAGCTTTATGGCTGTGTGCGAGGGAATCTATCATAGCTTTACGGCTCATAAAAGCTAAGGCCTGGTCCCTATAAACGCATAAATGTTATTTGATGCGATTGAGAGAAAAGCGTGCGAATTGACAAGGGCAAATAAATCAAATTCGTAGCAGGCATTCAATTTCTCAATCTTTATGCAAATAATGCAAAACAATTTTTGGGCACTTAATCAAAACAAAGTCCTAAACAAACAGCGGGCGCTAGATATGTTCACTGGCACACGCCGACAAGCCGGCCAGATGCTCGCATACCCAGGACATGGCACATGTATCCTTTTCAATGCCAAGGCAAACACACACACACACACACACGCACACAGAGCACGTGCCAAGAGGCACACTCAAACCAGAAATCGCCTCTCTGTCCAAACTGTCAGCTGTCGCTTTTCAATTTTCAAGTTCTGCTGCTGCTGCTGCTGCTGCTGCTTGGCTTTTCTTTCTTTCACTTACGTTCAAGTCAAAGAATTCGGTTGTTTTCTTTATGAACAACAGGCATGACATCAGCAGGGCGTCTCGCCCGGGTTTTCGCATTGGTCTTTTCTGTCTTCTTTTTTTTTTTTGAAGTTTTCCCATTAACGCTGGGTAGTTGGTGTAGTTGGCGCTGTCAGCAGCTCAACTTGAGTTTTGTGCAAGTTTCCAATTCATTTAGTTTTATTGCAAGCCAAGCCAACTCGGGCCGAAAGTCATTTGCAGTTCGACCAACCCGTTGCCCAATGTTTTCCCTGGCCAAATGTTCTATATAATAACTTTCTCATCAGGCACGCAACGCACATGGCTAAGTTAAATTTCGGCTTAGAACATGCATGAATATATACAAATATTTATTTAATTTCTATACTCTCATTTGGGAAACAGCAGCTCTTGCCAATAAGTCGAAACTAATGTTAAAAAAGTTCTAAGAACTTGCCAGCAATTTATTCTTGGTAAATATTTTTTTTATTAAGATCTCAGCTGTTATTTATTTGGAAATAAAATATGTTTACCAATTTCTATCTACTTCTTAGAAATTTAATAATTTATATCAATATCTATATCTATCTACTAGTTCCTTTTATTTCAACTATAACGAATACATATTTTGGTTAGAGTATATCGCTTTTGGCGTGCTGCACTGTCATGACAGGCCATTTTAATTGAATTTCTTTTACTTTTTTTGTATATTATTTCGTTTTGTTGTTGTTTTCGATTTATTTGATGTGAGCACGCGGGCAACAAGTCATCGTCGGCCTTTTGTGAATTTCATTTTCTGGCTAATTGTGGTCTTCGATTAGCAATTGAGTCGAGCATTACTGGCACGGCCTTGCCCATAATTGAATTCCCGCAAAAAAGAAATTCTAAATTCTGACAGCGGCTTCATTTGATTAAAATCCCACCCGCCAAATGCCAAGAGTTCGCATTGACGCCGCGCAACGCGTCGTATGAGTAATGTAAAAAAAGAACCCTTTAATTTTCTGTGAAAAGTTCAATGAGCCTGCGAAGCCAACAGACTCTAGGACACATCTAGCCCTATTTCATTCAATTAAAAGCTACTTAAATTAGATGGCTCATTAAAGTGCGCTTAAAAACATTTCAAGCACTCACAATTGCGCCTAGCGTGGTTAAGTTATCGCTATCGTTATCATTATCGTTATCGTTATCGTTTAACACACTGCACTCGCAAATCAAGATAAGTGCCCCAGAGAACCCATCAGCTCTGCGGTCGACCCTTTTTGATTTAAGCCAAACAATTTAAGCAGCCACCCCCCGCCCTCCCTCTGCTGCCCACAGCGGGTGGTCCACATGTGCGCCCGCCAGCCAATTTATGCTAATCAGCTGCTATGTCCAAGCCGAGCGGACCACTGGCTCTGCTCAGCAATTACATTGTCAACAATTGAATTGTCAAGAGAAGCGCCAAGGTGGCGTATACGCAATTAAAGAGTGCCAAGAAGACTGAGTGTAGTACTCACATCAATTGTGTAGTAGTAGTAGTTGTGTGGGAGTGCTTACCCAGCTGTATCTTTATCTGCATATCTCATGAATAATCCATAGAATAGTAGAACTGATTATGGACTCTGACTATTTGCGCCATATTCAGTTAAGATGTCATTGAGATTAAATATTTACTAGAGCAGCGAAAATGGGCATGAAGATAGTTTGCAGAAACATTTGCTCTAGTTGTCTTAGATTTTTACCAAAGCTCGTTTTCGAATATTTAAAAAAATAATCATATGCTTAGAGATAAAATATATTTTTTATTTGTATACAAAATGCTCAGCGGAATATCAGAAAGTGAAATATATAGCAAAATTAATTTAAAAAAATTAAAAATAAATATATTCAACTGTTTTAGGTTCAGCGTTAATCAAATGTGAAATGCCGTCCAAATGCGAACTGGTTCGGTACGTTCGGTAAGTACATCTTGATAATTCAATAATTCCTATTTCAATTGTTGACATCTTTTTTAAGTTTCTGTTATTTTCTTTTAAGTATTCACTTACACAGAAAAGCGTAAAATTTGTATTTTGAAAATTTATGCTTACGCAATTTGGCTCAACCTACATTTGGCGCATAATTACGAGTCGCTGACAAACTGTTCATGGTATTGGCCCAAAGGCACAACCACAAACCATAACAAAAACAGCAGGAAAATCCGCTTTAAAGCCACAAGCGACATTTCCAGCGCTTTAACTGAAAGCCGCGAGTTTTAGAGCGGTCAAAACAAAAACCACAAATCTGCGGCTGGTCCATCCAAAGATTAATATGTGGTTTTGCTGCATTGACGGCGTTTGTCCTCCATGTCCTGCAAAACTGAAAAAAACAAAGGGCAAAGCAAAAGGAAAAAAGAAACATTTGTTTTGGTATTTTATGGGCATTCAACCGCTGTCAGACTAAGAAGAAGCTTTGATTTCGCGTGAGTTTTGATTGTTTCGCTTGCGATCCAGACTGTCTGGGAGCGAGAGGGAAACCAGTTGAACGTCAATAGGCGGCGCCTTGGCCAATAAATATTAAATGTAAGTGTCAGTGGCTCGGCCAATTTGACATTTCAATAAAACGCTAAATACGCTTGTCTAAGCTTGAATTCAATTCAATTTAATGAAATTGCCTACCATTTATAGCACCAGCTCTTTATTACGCATACGTCATGTTAGACACTGCCCGTGCCACTGTGTATGTGTGTGTATGTGTGTCTATGGGCCGACTCGACTAGCTCGTTGCCAAAGTCAAGGTAAAGTGCATGGATTTATGAATGAAATTATGCCCAAATGCTAACAGCCCGCTAATAAAGCGAGAGAGGAAGTACAAGTGCCGTTTAACAGGACGCGGCAATGCTGTTAGCTAACAGCTGTTAACCGTTAACAGGCACGGCGTCAAGTGCGCCCGAAACAGCCACACGGAAATTTAGTCTAACATTGACTGCGCTGCAGAACGGACGTGCGCGTGCCTAATATAAACGTTTAACAACTATCAAGCGCGACTTTTAATTTAACACCTTATTATCCTTGATGTAAATAAGAAAATTATAAAAAATTCCTAAATAAATTTAAATGGAATTCAGTGTTAATTTTCAATAAAAGTAGTGTAAAAAAAGATTTGAAATCGTTGGTAAATCTGTTTTAAAACTCTCACTCTTACTTAAAGTCATAAAGTGCTTAAGATATCATCGCAAAAGCTCCTTTGTGTGCCCATTGTCATGGCCGCTTTCAGTCGGAGCATAGCAACAATAACTATACAAAAGAGTGAGACTGAATAAAATTATAAAAATAATATCAACAATTCTTGTCCTTGTCCGCGAGTTCTCTTTTAACCAACCAAAGTGACAGCAAATCAAATAAAACGCTTGTACTCCTTAATGGCCTTTGTCATTTAGACGCATTTGGGTACGCGGAGTTTTCGTTTAAGCCAACTGACTGGGCTTAAAGAATCAGATCTCTTGACATTTTTACGGTACAGCAGTTAAAAGCGTTAAAGCGTTAAAGTTTAAGAATTGGCTTGACCTTCCACAATATATGCTCGGCATCTGACAAATTAAATTGTCAATCCAAAAACTTGGACAGGTTAGGTAATTCAGAGAATATTATCATTATTCAAATTGCAATATTTGGACAATTGATTGGCCTAAATTAGTAATAACAAGTGCTACAGTGAGTTGACTTGCTGCACATCTTGAGGTTTTCGGCTGGCCTTAAGATTTACGCCTGATTTGGCAACTTAATTATTCCAGCAATGAACACGGCCCGGATGTAGAACTGTTTTGCCCATTGGGTTTTCGTATTAATTTCTTGACAATCAACCAAGAATATAAAATTTCGAGAAACATTTAACTTACGAGGTTTTGGTGTGGACATGTGAAATGTCGAAATGTCAGATTCAAAATTCAAAATATGGACATATTTAATATTTAATAAAAGTCTTTCAAATATTTATTCATTGCCCCAATAAAAAATAATATCGAAAATTGTCATAGTTTCCGTTTACTCTTTTTACTTGGTAATCAAATATCAAATCAAATACTTCAAAAACAGGCAAAATTCGTTCATTTTAATAAAATTGCCCCAAAGCAAATTTTCTTTGAAATATTAAAAAGAAATTGGTATAAAAATTTTTAATTGACTTTTATTTTCTACATATAAGAAAAGTATTTCTGAATAGTGTGAAATTTCTAAAAGTAAAAAGTGAAGATATTACACGATAATAATCATTATTATTATTTATATTATATTTTTATTACTGTTATTTATATTTTCATTATTGTCATCGATATTTCTATTATTAATATTATTATTATTATAAGTAGTTTCATTATCTTTGTTATCCTTATAAATATTATAGTACGCTTACATTTTGGTGCAACATCAAAACTATTCCGCCTAAAGAATCTCATGGCTTAAGTTAAAGATCTAACAATTTCCACAAAAGTATCTTAACTAACCGCGCATTTAATTATAAGCAGAGCACATAATTGTTCCAGGAACAATTTCCTTTTAAGCCTCAACCATTTTGCCTAAAACCACGCATGTTAAATGCCATGATGCATGATAATCACATGTAAGCCTTGTGGTTGTTCACATTGTTCAATTTGACTGATGAACGCTTTAAGAAAATGCTGTCGGACGCAAAACATCTTCAAACGGTATTCAAAATTCAAGGTAGCCTAACTACACGAGCCGAAAATATGATTAATGCCAAGTGGCTGGCTGCTGTTGCCGTTCCACATGGCCTATGCGAAACGTGGCCAGGAGTCAAGCTAGGTTCAGGAGTTGGGCCTGGTGCCTGTGCCATTGGCAGCTGTAAGATTTACGTATGCATATTGTCAACGTGCCAACGAAATAATGAGTGAATTATGAGCTCAAAATGCCATTTATCAGAGATGTTCCAAATTGCGTGGCTTCACATTGAGCCATGGCTTAAACGTACAAAATATTTTAACTAAACCAACTCGTTTGCCCACTTGCCAAAGTTTTGTCCTGCGGCCATTATTTTGCTCAATTCGTTGACCAACTCTTCATGCCACACAAATATGGAAAAGTTTTCTGTTTTGTTTGGGGCAAGCAATCCAAAAGGAAACTATGCCAACTCGTGGCCAGGACTCAATGCAAGATGTTCTCTATTTATAGCCAAAAGATTTGCGATTAGACCATAAAATTTCCACTTGAAGTTCTTGTGCTTAAAGTGCCGCAAAAATTTTCCACAATCAGTTGCCCCAAATTGCGCAGTTGTGATTGTGGCAGCTGGCCTTAATGCCAGGTAGGAAGCCTCCTGTTGTAAACAGAATCTGAGGGAGAGGGCGGGTATGCTCGCATATCATAATGTAAGCCAGATGGGCGTATTCAGTGTATTTTGGGATACAATTTAAATTCATACTTGAGACTAATGACTTTTAATGTTGTTTGCTTTACAGACGAATGCACAATAATTGGGGCCCTGCTGACGGTCTGCCTCGCTTATCAGCCATGTGCACGGCTAGCACGACAAACCTTAGCACAAACAACAGCAGCTGGCGCTGCAGACTATATTAATAATAGTGATAAGGCCACGCCCACAAATTAATTGACAACTGGCAGCAGAATGATGCAAGGCGTTGACTTTGCTCTTGCCAGCGACAATGATGATGGCCTCAATCAATCATTCATGGCTCATACGTTGCCAAATGCGAGGCCAAGTCTCCGGCCGAGTACCAGTCGCAGTCCGAGCGACAGTTCAAGCCCGGAGCTGTTGTTGCTGCACAATGATAAATTCCTAACACATGTCGCTCAAATGCTGAACATGACGACCGAGAATCTAACAAATCTGCTTGCCGCAAACAGCACAAACGGCAGCTCAGCAACAGCAACAATAACGGCAACAACAACAATTACTAACATGGCCAACAGCTCGGAGGAATCGCCCACGCTGCTCATCATCCTAACCATTTGCTATGCCCTAATCTTTGTGGCAGGCGTGCTGGGCAATCTAATCACCTGTATTGTCATTTCGCGCAACAATTTTATGCACACGGCCACCAATTTCTATCTGTTCAATTTGGCAGTCTCTGATTTGATTTTGCTCGTCTCAGGTAAGCTGGCCAAAATCCACACGGGCTTACGTTGCGTTGCGTATGCTTAATTTGCGGCATCCGGTTTCCATCATTAGGCATACCGCAGGAGCTATACAATCTTTGGTGTCCCAACTCGTATCCCTTCACGGACGGCATATGCATTGTAGAGAGCGTCCTCTCCGAAATGGCCGCCAATGCGACGGTGTTAACCATAACGGCATTCACCGTGGAGCGTTACATAGCCATCTGCCATCCCTTCAGGTAAGTGTGCGTGTGTGCGTCTGTGCGTGTATGTGTTGACTTGAAGATAACAACTAATTAGTTACAACAGCACATGTCCATAAATTATCTCTATAAACATAATATTGGTACGCTTAATTAACCCCAAGTATATATTATTTATTGCTATTTACCACTTACAATATTACATTGGAATTTATTTGAGTTGTTTTATGTTGTTTGATAGGTTCATCCATGATATATGTAATTAATGCCAAATAATACACATAATTAAATGCATATTCAAGGCTTAAGGCTACAAATATGGGCGGATAGATAGTAAAATGTCAATTAAATAAACCGACCAAAAAGAGTTGCCATCATTTGTTGAAATATTCTTGAATAGCAACTGATTTTATTGCATCCCGCCAGTTGTCATAATTAAATGGAACAAACAAACAGAGAATCAATTCATTCAATTCGCAGAAATATTTCTGCTCCCATTGTTATTAATTTTTGTTTTGTTTTTTTATTTATTTATTGACTCTACCACTTTTGCGAGCCGTGGGCTTAAAAAACTGTTCATGTTTATACTCCACTGTTCAAATTGTCAACAACAATACGAAACGGTTATTATCCTTTAAAAATGAATAATAAACAAATGTTTATTACAAAGCAAATGGTATTTACGTTTTATGTCCATGCAAAGCATAAGCTTATATCTTTTAATCTGAACAACCTCGAGTCGCTTAGCGTCAAGCTTTGAAATTATTTTGAGTAATTCGTTCAAATATTTTGTTGCTGCCATGTCAAACTGTTTGACATAGACGACTTAACCAAATTCAATTGACTAAGAGTGCACTAGTCGAGGCTAGCCGAGAGAGATAGAACCTGTGATCTGTAAGTTATCGATAATTATCGATCGTAAGACAAATAGGTCAGCCGACAAAGATATAAACTTTTGTCTGTAAGTTATCGATAATTATTGATCGTAAGACAAAAGAGTAAGGATTACTTCGGCACGCCTAAGATTTAACACTCTTGAATAGGAAAGCTCGTAAGTGCTGAGAATATTTTGCCATGGAATAGCTCATTGTTAGGCCGAATCTTCCTATAGAACTATATAATATAGTAGCGCCGTCTTGATAAGACTTGACACGCAGCCTAGTTTAACTAGTTAATGACGGAGTTTGATCAATATATCATGATAAACACACAGGTTTTTCATATTCGACTGATCGTTCCAATGGCAGTTAAATGATATAGTCGCCGGATGTTGATAAGATTTTGCGAACATATGAGGAACATAGTGAAATTAATAAATGCCGAATTTGGTCACGATATTTTGAAAAAACAAAACAGTTTTTCATACAAGAATTTCATTTTCGACCGATATATCCTAAAGGGATCCGATGTTGCTGAAGTTTTGTATATATATGAGAAACATATTGATACAAGATCCTACTTTTCGACCGACTTCAATGGCAACCTTATGATATAGTGGTCCGAACCGGCTGTTCCGACATATGTTCTGCCTAGAATAGAAATACGGCCCTATGCAAGTTTCAAGAGGAAAACTCTAAAATTGAGAGACGAGTTCGCATAGAAAAAGACAAACGGACCAACAGACGGAAGTCAAGTCCGTCAGTATCAACTCAGCTGTTGTTGCTGATCTAGAATATATATGCTTTATGGGGTCGGAGATTCTTCTATGCGTTACACAATTCACCATAATATCCTATACAAGGGTATAAAAACTGGAAGTATAGCTGCAAGGGTATTTGGAGTGCAGCGGAAATAACTCAACATTTTAAATTGTTCCCTATTAATGACACATACACACACACACACACACACACACACATCCATTTGATGAGAGTGGCGAGTGATGGGCAATCCGTGTAACCGAAAAATAAAATGCAACATTTACAGGCAACACACCATGTCCAAGTTATCGCGGGCCATCAAATTCATCTTCGCCATTTGGCTGGCGGCTTTTCTGCTGGCGCTGCCGCAAGCGATGCAGTTCTCTGTGGTTAACCAGGATAATGGCTACTCCTGCACGGTGGGCACAGGCAGCAACTTGATTGCCCATTAATGCCAGTTTAAAGGAAATACTTTGATATTTTTTATAGATGGAGAACAACTTTTACGCGCATGTGTTTGCCGTCTCGGGCTTTATATTCTTCTGCGGACCCATGACGGCGATCTGTGTACTCTACGTGCTGATTGGCATGAAGCTAAAGCGGAGCCGGCTGCTCCAGTCACTGCCGCGACGCGCCTACGACGCGAATCGCGGCCTAAACGCGCAGAGTCGCGTCATCAGAATGCTGGGTAGGTGGATTTAGTAGGCGGTTTGATTGATTGAAATCAGCGGCCATCGAGCGTTAAGCACACTGTCAAACTTTGCCATGCACTCAGAGAAAATATGACATTTTTGGTAAAAACTGAACACAATTCACAAATTTTGAATTTTTTAAACTAAGGAGAAAAAACTCTTTAGCTAAAAAGCAAAAAAATGAGGCAAAAGAATTTACAGACTTCAAATAAGAGTTAAACCTACTCAGCTTCTTCATTTCTTCATTTAGTTTAAGAATTCGTCTTAATATAAAAATTCCGTATAGAGGATTTACAATTTCGACAATATTTGTATTTAATTTGAAGAAGCAGGTCAAGGTTTTTTCTCTAAGTGTCGAAGCGTTCAATTTGAGATTACACTTAATACACACACACACAGACTTTCACACAAACACACACACACTTTCATACATACACAGTGAACGCACGAGAAAAAGTATGCGGCGCACATTGAAAACTTTGCCCAATGATGCGCATACGCCATGTGGGCCGCAGCGCTAGCGGAACCCTCTTGGATATATATATATATATATTTATACACACCTAATGCACACACACACCTAATTCTAGGCATTTGGTAACCCGCTCCCCCCTCTTTGCAGTAGCTGTAGCCGTTGCGTTCTTTCTCTGCTGGGCTCCCTTTCACGCCCAACGTTTGATGGCTGTCTATGGCGTCTCGCTGATTAATGCCTGCCGCTGTCGAGATGCCTTTAACGATTATTTCCACATACTTGATTACACATCCGGTGTACTGTATTTTCTGTCCACCTGCATCAATCCGCTGCTGTACAACATTATGAGCCACAAGTTCCGTGAGGCCTTCAAGGTATGTAATAGTGCTGCCAATCTTGGTTTTTGTTGCTTTTCACTTAGTGAGCGTTGCAAACGCGTTGCAGATCACGTTGACACGTCAATTCGGTTTAGCCAGAAACCATCAGCAGCAGAGCCAATATCGTCAGCACAATTACAGCGCACTCATGCGGCTGCAGGGCTCGATGCGGCTGCAGCCCGTCAGCTGCAGCAACAATAATAATGCACTGGAGCCCTATGGATCCTATCGCGTGGTGCAATTTCGCTGTCGCGATGCCAACCATCAGCTGTCGCTGCAGGATAGCATACGTACCAATACCACAACCACAACCATTAATAGCAGCAGCCTGGCTGGAGCTGGTGCTGGTGGTGCTTCAGTTCCTGGTAGTGGTGGTGGTGGCGGTGTTGTCGGTGGTGGCAATGGTGGTGCTGGCGGCAGGCGCCAACGTAAACAGGAATTTTATGCCACAGCGCCGGGCAGCGCAGTGCCACATCGCTTGCTGCAGTCGCAGGTCTCCAGGCTAAGTGATGGCAATTCGCACTCTTTGCTGGACACGAATGTGGCTGATGTGGGTCGCCATTGTGCCGCTGGGCGTGCCAAGCGCACACTGCTGGCGACAAACAATGGCGCCCTGCTATTGGCAACGGCCCAGCCAGAGGACGCACAGCCCCCAACGCGCCTCAAGCTATCACGGGTGATAAGCCGTCGAGATGAGCCGGCTTACAGTGGCAGCAGCAGCCTGCCCGACCAGGAGACCAACAACGGCACCAACACCACGGACACAAATGGCGGCGAGCTGCGCAAGTTTCCATGGCGCAAGAAGCGCCAGAAGCAAAATGTGGCCAACAACAATGAAGCGGGCGGTGGCAGAAATGGCTATGCCACGCCCAAGTCGCTGTGATAAATGGTACGCTCCCGCAAGCTCTGCAACTTTTTAGCTAGCAAATAAACGTTTACAAATAGTTAGATTTACATACATATTCAGTGTTGAGTTAATGTTAACAAATAGTTAAATATATCTATGGACGAAAATGTTTTTGTATTTCGGCTTCTAGTCGGGTGCACGAAATCCGCTTTTCCGCCCCTATTTGCACAGATTTTCGCTTTCAGCTTTGTGTTGTTCCGCTTCTCCAGTCTTAAGCACAATAATTTAATTTAGTAAGAGGCGAGAACCGCAAGAATTTAAATTTTATCTAGTGAGTACTGAGCGACAAAAATACATTTTAAACCAATTAAATAGTTCAAATAGACGTTTGTTAATTATTACTTCAATAATAAATTTGTTTTTAAAATTACCCAAAATAAAAGTTAGGCACAAAACGTCGCAGTCAGCCGTCTCTGTATATTGCCACTATTTGTCTTCTCCACCACCCTCCCCCTAACACGACAACCCCTCAAGTAAATGTTGCGGAAGTTTCCAATTTCTTGTGAACTCAAGCAAAGATATGTACTGCTTTAAATGTATATATATAAATCCTCAATTTAGAAAAAAAAACTGTATTTATTTTTATTTCTTATATTTTTAGAAATATAAAATTAGAAAGTTGGATCATTTCGAGAAATAAAAATAATAATATATAATATAAATAAGCATTTAATAAAAAATATATATATTATTTAAAAAAAATATATTTATATATATTTAACATATATATTTTATTTACTATACATATTTTATTATATATATTTTTTTATTTGTTTTTAATAAGCTAAACGCCGGATATATAAATATATATATATTTATATATATATATTAAATCTATATTCAGCTGGCTCGAGATCTGACGTTTAGTCTATAAAAAAAGAAAAATTAAAATAATTTTTGTTTTTATTAATATTTTTCCAATAAATTTCGGGCGCCGTCGGCATCGGCAACCATCTTTAGACGAATACTTTACACGTCTGCGCTTCTTGAGGTTGAGATTGAAATATAAATATAAAATATTACACATTATTTATCGAAATTAGTCCATTTTTTAGTTTAGTATATCTAAAAAAGTTACGAATTTTTTTTAAAATACTTCAATATATATGAAAACATTTTGAGTCCAACCAGTTTTCGCTATTCCTTATACAAAAAATCCGTTTCAGAGTTAGCTTCATTGAAAATAAAAACCAAAGTTGGAATTTCTCGCTTAAGCCGATAATGTTAAGAAATGTTTAATCATTGCTTTACTTGTGGCTAGCAAATATCACAGGCTTTGTCAACTACATATACCCCCAACTACATATACCCCCCCCCACACACACACACACACACACACACACAAGTTGACTTACTTGTAGTACTAAGGTATCTAGATATATAAAGAGACTCTTCAAATAGGGTCAGAAAACTTGTTCGCATGGAAATTTATGGCCATATAAATGACAGCGGCTGCATTAGCTGGCCCAGACGATTTATGCCACGGCATAAAGCAAAGCCAATGTCGGCTGCAAGTGACGAACCGACTACGTCATGGACTTGCCACAACTCTAGTACTTAGGCGCCACACATAAATTAAGTGTTTAAGTGGCAACGAGTATATATATATAACAAATAAAGCTGTTCACATGCACCGAAACGAAAAACAACAAGTGAGAAGAGTTTTCTTCTTATTTTTCTATCATTTTTCTTACTTTCCTCGAATGCACTGCCAGCAACAGAATTCAATGGCATCTAAGGCCCACATCGAATTCGAATGGAAAAGGATATTTTTTTTTCGTGCCTTTCAGCAACTGCTCCTTGAAGGCAGCATCTGTTATTTTGCACTTGGCAGCCATTTTGTCAGCTACTTTTTGCCAAGTGCGCTTTGTCTGCCTGATGGAAGGGATTTGCACAGCTATGGCATAGGGCTTAGTCCTTGCACCTGCTAGCTGCCCAAGTGAAAGGCTCTTAAATGGCAAGTAGAACGTCAAGTAGGATTTAATTATTTTAAATTAAACTGATTATAAAATAAAAACATCCATGTCCTACCCAGATCAGTAAATGAATTTATATATACATATATATACTTATTTAAATGTTGTATACTATATAATTTGTATGCAAGGTATTTTCTTGTTCGTCTCTATCCTGTTTCATTTATTAACAATATTTGCCAAGGTAAGTCAAATTAAGTCATACTTCATACAAGCGCAATAATAAAGTTAATATTGTCCTGCTTTCTATTAAGGCAAGTTCAAATGTTTTTGTTTCTTAATAAATTTTCAAGTTGGAAAAAATCGTTAAAAAGCTAAGAAGTTAGCTCACGACAACGTCAAAGATAAAGTCGAAAAGTGACATAAAATATGAACTAAAAATTTATGGCAGGACATAGAAAGAAAATTGCTGAACATCAGGCCCTCGGCATGAACTCCATTTTACAGTTGATTAACTTTACATCAAATCGACTTTGAATATTGTTCATGAGCAAATCTTAAATTCTGCCCACACAAGCAGCTCACTGTGTTGACAACATGATTTCTCCATTAAACTTGCGTTTAACTTTTGACAGTCAGTCACATTTAGAAGCACGTTTATATGAGATGCATGCAAGCCCTTTGAACTGGATTTGACAACAGACTTATCCTTCACGTTTAGAACGTTAAACAGCTTTTCCGGATACTCATCACTGAGGTGTGTGTGTGTGGATGTGTGCCTGTGTGATCAATCAAAATGCGGGGTATTCGTAAGGATATCAGTTGAAAAGAGGTTATAGAAAATTGAAGTTCCATACACAAAAAGAACTTTACATTTTTAAAGGATATCTCGTTACATTTTCAATATATCCATAAATATCGATTTTGAGACTTGGTTTTCAAAGCATAGTTCGGCAACTATACCAAATATGGTATGTAGGCTCTCTTAGAATATACACATATTAGGACAATTTCACTTTATGTCCCCCTCAAAATTAAAACACAGTTCATTATCAAAGCTAGAGCCGAATGAGTACTAGAATTTACTTTGGAAATGGGAAGTTATTCAACACGAAATTTCCGGTTTGAAGACGAGTACAGGGAATTTTGTAGTTGAGCAGTCTCGACTACAGCGTTCTCGCTTGTTTGGAGCGTAGATTTGTGTGGTCTGTGTCAAGCATTATGCGCAGACAGTTTATTATGCACGTAACATGTGTGTGTAAAAAAACTCCCACACATTGTATTCTATTGTCGTCTGGGCAGCACACAAAAGTATAAAATTATGAGAGTTTTGTATCCCATAAGCTGACATGCTCAGGTCCAGATTTTAAGCCCACATCCTGTCATTTAGTTTTTAGCAACATTTTTTATTTTTTTGTGGCCATTGTCTGCGCTTAACGAGTAAGCGGCTAGCCGCAGGAAAGTCTCTAAATTGTTCATGAAACTCATTGAAGGACTACAGCAAAAGGACCACACACTTCTCCCTGTGCCAGTTTTAAGTGCTGAACCAACAAATTTCGAATTGCATAAGCACCTTCAATGGTTTGGCAATTAAAAATTTACACAGCACTTAATTTGCCGGAGCCCGAAAAAGGTATTTTCTCTGTGTGCGCGTGTGTGTGTGTTTGATGGCCAAAAAGCTGCTAAAAGCGAGCGAATATGCAGTCATGTGTATGGAGATATATAATGTGTATGAAACTATGCAAATATATATGCATATATGTATGTATTTATTGGTCAAGCTATTGTTTGTATGTACGAAATCTAACAAATAGTATCGATGAACCCAATTGATTTCCATTGCCGGCGCTGCGAGGTCAACTGCCTGCCTTGGCATTGTCTTGGAATTTATAGAAATCTATGATATAAAAAAAAGGGCAAATGTATCTAACAGGAAGAAGGAAATGTAAAGTATATATATTCATGGCCAGTATCAATAGTCGAGTCGATATAGCCATGTCCATCTGTCTGTCCTCCGTCCGTCCCAGCAGAACGAGTTTCTTTCAAATAATCGATAACTTGCTCCGTATGCAAAAAATCGATAAAAATTGATAACAGAATCCTGTTTATTGAGCAAATTAAATTGTACATGTTATATCTAGTATAAACAGTTCAAGTATCTTTTAGTTTACAATAAACATTTAAAATATATTAAATTATTTATTTGATAAGATAAATAATAACTGTCGCTTGACAACATTTTGTATAGCATACTTTGATGCGCTTCTGCAAAATATTAATTAAAATTCAATCGAAAAGTTTTCAACTGAGCGTGACAAAAGTGCATTTTAGTTTTCAATTTATTCTTTATTAATCCGCAAAGTGCATTGGAATTGAATTTTTGATTGTAATCAGTTGAAGTTGCCGTTATTTAGCGTCGGATCCATTGTTGATAGCGTGAAATTAAAATTTAATTGCTACATTTTTTCAACATAAACATTAATTCAAGTTTATTTGGTGGCATTGTGTTTATCTCATTATTTTACATAATTTTCCTTTGAGTGGAATACTTGGTAAGAGGGCAACACTTAATTGTGTCAGTTTAATGTTATTATTTAAAAGCCAACATATATTTAAAAGAACAAAAAAATTCAAAGTTTAAGCAAAATGTAGTCGCAGTCGCAAGTGCGGCAAGTGTGGCAAGCTAGCAGCTGGCAGCCGCATCAAATTTGCCCCGCAATTTTTGACAACAAATTAAACGCAGTGCCCCCCGGTCACAGTTCAACAAACTAAAATTGCTTGTTTTATGGCCTCCATGTACTCTGGCGTTCGTTTCAACACACACAAGAAGCTAGAATGGCAGAGGGCTGAGAAGAGAGCCAAAACTGGCAGCAGAGGAGGGCAAAACAAAAGGGCGAAATCGCAAAGCAGACAGCTAAAGATTAGCTGCAGCTTGCCGCCACACAAGTGTAGGGCCAAAAATAGCTCGAATTGCTTGTACAATTGCAGCCGTACAATAAAGACTCTTAGCCTTGACCAAGGACCCATGAACCAGCCCAACAGCCCAGCAGCCGAACAAGCCAGCAAGCCGACCAACCCACCAACCCACAGCCCCTCGAATCCAGTCAGCTAAATGTCCCTTTATATTCTTTTCTCTGTTGTATTTCCACAGCCACAGCATCTCATAATAATTACTTGGGTCTACAAATGCCGCCGAAACTTAAAGTTTGCCCTAAAAATTTAATCAGCGGCAATGGTTGGCATTGTCTGCGGAGCTCCACTGTTGCGGCCGATGCGTAGTAAATGCCAACTGCCCGATAACCGGGCAGGAACGTGTCTTTTGT